GGAGGAGCACCGGAAATAGCTTGTGCGCAAGCGCAAGCGTTATTTGGCCATGCGCAAGCGTTGTTTCTGGTGCACATCCGGGTCGGAGGAGGCCTGTGCACATGCGCACAAGCGCACAAGCTATTTCTGGTGCTCTTCCAACCCAGAAGTGCGCCGGAAATAGCGTGTGTGCACGCGTATGGGCACATGCTCCCCCGCCCTCCAGCCCGCCGCACGATCGACGCTGGAGACACCGGCCCGAGGCGTGGTAAGTTTGCTGACCCCTGGGATAGAGAAAGATAAGAGCTAGATGCCGCGAGATACCTGTAAGCTGTTAGGGAGAAAGGCGGGTGATAAATGAATGAATGAATGAATGAATGAATGAATAAATAAATAAATGATTGGCATCTGTCTTGTCTCAGGAGACACAAGAGAAGTGTGCTTTTGGAGATGAAGTCAAATTCTGCTGCTGTACGATGAATGCCTGCTGTACGATGATGATGTCGATAATTTGGGGGTTTTGGGTGTGTGTGTGGGAGATGAGACATGGTGGTGGGATAATAATAATAATAATAATAATAATAATAATAATAATAAAATTATATTTATACCCCACCCTCCCCAGCCAAGACCGGGCTCAGGGCGGCTAACATCAAGTATAAAAACAAGTGATTAAAATACAACTTAAAAACAAAATTAAGCACAACATTAAAATACAGCCTCATATCAGTGGAAACTCAAATCAAAAACTTTTGGGGGGATGAAAACATCAAATCTTCACCAAGGCTAACTATCCAGACTGGTCCTACATGGGCCAGAAAAAAGCCAGGGAAGTCCTCAAATAGGAGTTCCATCACAGAAGGGGAAAGGAAAAAGGAAAGAAGGGGAGGGAATCAAGTTGATCCCAAGCCAAAGGCCAGGCGGAACAACTCTGTCTTACAGGCCCTGCGGAAAGAAATCAGATCCCGCAGGGCCCTGGTCTCAAGAGACAGAGCGTTCCACCAGGCGGAGCCAGTGTTGAAAAGGCCCTGGCTCTGGTTGAGGCTAATCTGACTTCCTTAGGGCCCGGGACCTCTAGGGTGTTGCTTTTTATGGACCTTAAGGTCCTCTGCGGGGCATACCGGGATCCCATTTTCTGGTTTGCCTCAAGCGGCAAACTTTCTTGGGGTGGCCCTGCCAGGAAGGCTACCTCCTTTCAGTCTCCCCTCCTCCTGGTTTGCTGTTAATAAAGACTACGGCAACATCTAGACCTGGGCTGTGTGTGTCCCTTTCCCCAAGCTGAGCGCTGTGTCAAATTGAGAGTTCATTGCAGGTCTAAAGAGCGAGGATTGTGCAAAAGAAAACCAGCCTCCCCGGTCCTCTCCTTCCCCGTCAAGTCGCTGCTTGAGAACGAAAGGTCACCGTAATTAGCAGAGACAGGTTAGCTGGGAGGAGAGTCTTAAGAGCATCTCGCGCTCCTCACTTCAATTAATGCCTTGGCTTGAAAGACTGCTCTCCGCCTCTCCCTCTCCATCTAGCCCCACTTCTGGATAAAGAGTTCTCACAAACATCTTGTTAATTACTTTTTATAATTAGCTGGTGGTGAAAAGGGAAAGCTCCCTCCGGGGCTCGCAGGGACCTTGGCTGTTTTCATCCGTGAGACTGGACACACTCTGGAGCCAACGGCGACCTTGCAATTGCGCCTTGACTTTCTTTCTCTCCTGGGCTAAAAGCTGCAGGTGTTGTTGTTGTTGTTGTTGTTTTTCCAGGGTGCTGCAGAAAACGGAAGATGCCAGCGCTGGCAGCTTCCAAGAAGCCTCAATATCCCCTTGCGCTTGATCCAGAGGGTGCAGCTGGTGCAAAATGCTGCAGTGCAATTGCTGGTGGGAGCGAGGCCTTGTCAGCATAGAAAGCCTGTGCTGAGAGATCTGTGCTAGTTGCTGGTTTGCTACTGGGCCAAGTTCAAGGTGTTACTATGAGTGTATGAAGCCCTGAGCAACTTGGGACCAGTTTAGGACATCCAGTTTTTAGGAGATTTGGGACAGACTTGGGCATCGTTAAACTGTGGAACTCACTTCCACAGGATGTAGCAGTGGCCTCCAATTATAAAGTATTTTTTTATTTATTAAATCTTTTAGTCACTTTCTCTTGCCTGTGGCAGCTCAAAGCAACCTACAACCATCATTCTCTTGGCTGGTTTTAAAAGAGGAACAGACAAATCCATGGGGAATAAGGCCATCAGTGTCTACTAGCCCCAATGGTTATTTTCTGCTTCCACTCTGAAGCATCTACTCTATTCCAAACTTAAGCATGGAAAGCGTAATGCTGGTGATCAACAAAAGAGGTTCAAAGACTCTCTCAAGGCAAATCTAAAAAAAATGTAGTACAGTTGTACCTTGGGTTACAGACACTTCAGGTTACAGACTCCGCTAACCCAGAAATAGTACCTCGGGTTAAGAACTTTGCTTCAGGATGATAACAGAAATTATGCAGCGGTGGCACAGTGGCAGTGGGAGGCCCCATTAGCTAAAGTGGTACCTCAGGTTAAGATCACTTTCAGGTTAAGAACAGACCTCCGGAATGAATTAAGTTCTTAACCCGAGGTACCACTGTATAAACACCAACAACTGGGAAACACTGGCCTGTGAGCGCTCCAGTTGGAGAACAGCCTTGATCAAAGGTGTCATGGGCTTTGAAGACGCTTGAACTCAAGATGCAAGGGAGAAATGTGCTAAGAGGAAGGCACACTTTGCAAACCCTCACTGGGGTCAACTCCCGCCCAGAAACCAATGTCCCCACTGTGGAAGGACATGTGGATCCAGAATTGGCATCCACAGTCACTTACAGACTCACTTTTAAAACGGTGCCTATGGAAGACAATCTTACTTGGCTACGAGTGATCACCAAAGAAAGAAGAAAGAAGAAGACTACCCACAATGGCTATACTCTGCTTCCACTCTGAATGCCCGTTGCCGGGAATCACAAGTGCGGAGAGTTGATTTTGCAGTCAGGTTCTACTTCCAAGCTTCCCATTGGGCACCTGGTTGGTTGCTCTGGGACTAGGAGGGTAGACGAGAAGGTCCTGTGGCTTGAGCTCTCAAGGCTTGCATGTTCAAATCAGCATGAAGCCATTGGCAGCTAGATTTTCTCATGAGTCACTTTGAAGAGGCCACAGGAGGTACCGGTAAGGAGCTATCCTTAAAGGCCTCACTGTGTACGGACCACAGTCATGAGAAGGAAGCAGTCGTGTGTCTTATGGGATCCGTACTATTTTCCTAGAAAAAGAGATGCCAGAATTCACCATCAACACCTCCCTTGTTCTCTTTTAATGGCAATGGCATCCACCTGAGAGGGGCCGGAACTGAGCTCTGGTTGACAGATGTCCATCCAACCCTCAACAAAGGAGAGTCCACCCCCTTCTGAGGGAGACTGTTTCACTGCTGAACAGCTCCTCCCTTCTCAAAGTGATTCCTAAGGTTTTGTTGGAATCTCCTTACCTGTAACCATTGGGCCCTACAGTCTGGAAGAGCAGAAAACAAGATTGCTCCATCTTCCATGTGATGGCCCTTCAGATCTTTGAAGATCTCCCCAACTTCTGCCCACTCCTCAAAACAAGCCACTGGCCAAAAGCAGCCGGACTTCCCTGCGAATCTCTTCCCAGGAGTTTTTCACAGTACAGCCTCTCATTCTTCACTAGAACTTGCCTCTCAGTGACAGCACCACTAAATCGCCTACATATCCCACTAGCCTTGTGTGTTTTTTCTTCTTTTTTAATTAAAAAGCCATGTAAGAGTTATATCAGTTCTCCAGAGGCATTGTAGCTCCTGACACATGAAATAATGTCTTTTTATAATTAAACATTTTTTTTCTGGGGCCACGCAAGTGGAGTAGAGATATAGTCCACACAATCTGTTACTGTCCAACCATGTCAAAGACTGTTCTTCTGTCTCCAAAATGTGATAGACAGTCAGTGAGAGCAGGAGGAGAAAGAAATGGTCTCTTCCTCTGTTCCTTTCCCCAGCTGCATTTAGAGGTGAACATAGGAGTCAGTTCCTAGGGGCTGAAGTTCTTTCACCTCCCCAATAAAAATATTGGGAAGCCTGGCTGCGTCCAGTTGTGGAGGAGAACAGGACCATCATGACTTGTAGCCATCAATCACCCTCTCCTCCTCCATGAATCTGTCTAATTCTCTTTTAAAACCACCCAAACTGGTGCCCACCTGTGCCTTCTGTGGGAGCAAGTTCCATACTTTAACTATGCATTGCCTGGTGGGTCTGCTGGAGTTAGGAGTTCCACAAAGAGGGCACCATGAAGGAGAAGGCCTTACTCTCTTTCCTCCCATAGGATTTGCCAAAATGTGTGTGCGTGGGGGGGGTGTTATAGGGGACACCACATTTCACGTGGGATTTCATCTATCAGGTGCCAGAGCATCGGAACAGCAGAAGCTGCCTTAGGTCATCTGACTCAGAATTGTCTACACCACTTTCCCAAATCTGGGTCTCCAGCTGCTGTTGGACTACAACTCCCATCATCCCTGCCTAGCAGGACCAGTGGTCAGGGATGACGGGAATTGTGATCTAAAAACTGATGGAGACCCACGTTTGGGAAACCCTGCCCTACACTGACTGGCAGAGGTTCTTGAGGGTTTCGGGCAGGGGTTCTGATCCCCCGTTGTACCTGGAGATGCTATTGGGGTTGAACCAGGATATAAGAACATAGGAATTTGCCTTATACTGAGTCAGACCCCCTGGTCCATCTACTCAGCATCATCTACCCTGACTGGCAACAGGTCTCCAAGGCTTCCGACTCAGGTGATATCCCCAGCCTTACCTGGAAACATCAATAAAGAATGGAATCTGGGACCTTCTGCATGCAAAACAGATGCTCTTCCACTGAGCTATTTGTCCCTCTCCAAGAGTACCCAGAGAAGGGCTTCTCCTGGTGATTTTGATGGGGAACAGAAGGGATTGGGCCTTTTCCAAGGACTAAGGTAACAGTAATAGCCTTGAAATTGTGCTGGAACCAAAGCACAACAAGATGTACATTCCCTTATTTTTTTATTTCACCTTTCCCAGCCTGACTGCAAAAAGTCTGTGGGGTCTGCTGAAAGAAGCCCGCCATTTCCAAGGGAGAGTCCCTAATACTTCTGGGACCTCACAAACCGTGTGACCCACTCCACCTCGTGCTTGACCGCCACTCCGTCGTCTTCTGCGGAAACTTCCACACTCGTCCTTACAGCCCCACTCTCCAGGTCCACAAAGGTCTGTGCAGAGTCTATGTTCACCAGCGCTCCCTCACCAAGGAACTCCTCGATATAGCCGTAGTCGTCATCATTGCTGGGACGACCGCTGCTTGGCCTGCAGATCTCCTCCTCCTCCTCTTCCTGCTGTGAATTATTCCTGTAGGCATCTTGATGGTCTGGATTCTTCCTGGTGGGAAGTGACCATGTGCCTCCTCGGTCCTTACGTTTAGGAGAAGGCAAGTCGTGGTCTTCATCCACCTTTCTTTGAATCATCCCGGTGCCAAGTTCCTCCACATCTTCATCATCTCCAACAATCCTTGACATGGATAGATTTGAGGACCCTTGTTTAGAGTTTCCACACTCTTCTGCAGCCACTTCATGGACGATTGGAAGCTCGGATCCTCTTGCCTCTGGGCCACATCTGTTGTTCACAGTGACTCCCTCTTTGGGAGATGCCAAGGTACACACATCCCTACTGGTATCTCTCCCTTCTTTGTACAAACTGTTGGAATAATCACTTTGCTGGTTTCCATCCATTGGTTGTATCCAAAGGAATTCCCCTGTCGGTTCTGGACCAGAAATGGTTCTGTCTGCAGCTTCTTCTCCCATGACGAGGTGGCCATCTCCACATTCCTGGTGTTGCCTGATCTCATTCTGACTCGGCGCGTCAATTTCATCATTATATTTCTGTCCCATGATGCTTCCTGTTTCTTCTCTTCCTGTGCAGCTTTTGAAAATTGACTGGTCCAGCGAGGGCTGAGGGTCTCCCCTCTTTCCTTCCACATCCGTCCTATGAAGCAACATTATTTCTTTCTGGCAGGTGAGGGGGAGGATATGACAGTGGTTGTCCAGTGACTCTCTAGGCCAATGACAAACCTGCCCCTCACCCGCCTTTGACCTTTTCCCTCCCTGAACCAATATTTATTCCGCTTTACTAAGCTATAAAATGTACAAAACTTGGGAACTTGTTTTCCCTTTGTGATTTCAGGCGTCCAGGGTGTTTCCTTTATTCTTGTCCAAACAGTTTCTTGAGTTTCTTATTTTGTCTCCTTCCTATTGGAAACCTGCTGGAATCATGGCCCTTAATGGTAAAACCAAAGCTATGAATGCTTTTAAGTTCCAGCCCTCATTGTGGGATGGCCTCTCAGTTTTGTTGTGCCGGCTGCTACCCACCCTGTTCTAGAAGCTCCCTGAGATGGTTAGCAACATATTTATGACATCACAGGGATTTCATCCACTGACTCTGCAACACATTTTGACATGGCTTGGGAGCTGGATGCTCTGTTGAGAAAATGTGAGAGCAAATCTGTAGTTTGTGTCATCTTTGCTACTGAAGAACATCAGAAGAGCCTGCTGGATCAGGCCATGGGCCCCCCTAGTACAGCAGGATTTGAGCACAAGAGTTACCTCCCCTCTTCAGAAGCATTGCTACCACCCACTTTTTAGGCAAAGCCGAGGCATCATGGCTAGCAGTCATCAACAACCTTCTACTAATTCGTCAAATAGTTTTTTTCAAGCCATCCTAGTTGATGGCTCTCAGTTTCTCCTTTGGGAGAGAGTTCCATAGTTTAACAATGCACTACATGAAGGATGAGGGACGCGGGTGGCGCTGTGGGCTTGCCGATCAGAAGGTTGGTGGTTCGAATCCCCGCGACGGGGTGAGCTCCCGTTGCTCTGTCCCTGCTCCTGCCCACCTAGCAGTTCGAAAGCACACCAGTGCAAGTAGATAAATAAGTACCACTCTGTCGGGAAGGTAAACAGTGTTTCCGTGCGCTGCTCTGGTTTGCCAGAAGCAGCTTAGTCCTGCTGGCCACATGACCCGGAAGCTGTACGCTGGCTCCCTCGGCCAATAAAGCGAGATGAGCGCCGCAACCCCAGAGTCGGCCATGACAGGACCTAATGGTCAGGGGTCCCTTTACCTTTACCGGAAGGATGACGTCTTTTTTTATCTGGCCTGATATTCTGAAGGATGCAGCTCCACAAGGAGAACTTCCCCCAATGGATCTAAGTAATCTTATAGGTCTGTACAGAGACAGGCAGCTCTACAGGTATAGTGGTCCCATGCTGTCCAGGGCTTTATATTGTCGCATGCCACCCTAATTTATGAGGGGGAGGCTCCAGGAGTTCTAGGTGCCTATCTAGGTTTGGTTTCCTTGGAATGAAGGTCAGCGGAGACTTTGGTATCTATAGGATGCATGGTTTTATTTACGCATATATGCTACCTGAGCATAAGATGGAGGTGCTTACAGCATCAACACCCAAGGAGACCTTGCTTCTCCAATCGTTGCAGCAATGGATCCATTTTAGAGCAAGTAGGTCTCCAATACTCTGGCTCTCCTCCGCCTACCTGGCAGGTAGGACAGGGGGGTGGAAGAAAGGCTCACCCATTAGCCTGGAGAAGAAGAAGAAGAAGAGGAGGAGGAGGAGGAGGAGGAGGAGGAGGAGTTTGGACTTGATATCCCGCTTTATCACTACCCTAAGGAGTCTCAAAGCGGCTAACATTCTCCTTTCCCTTCCTCCCCCACAACAAACACTCTGTGAGGTGAGTGGGGCTGAGAGACTTCAGAGAAGTGTGACTGGCCCAAGGTCCCCCAGCAGCTGCATGTGGAGGAGCGGAGACGCGAACCCGGTTCCCAGATTACGAGTCCACCACTCTTAACCACTACACCACACTGGAGGGCTTTAGTTGTAGCTCTTGCAACTGAGCTCATTCTTTTGGGATGTTGATGAGGACACTTAAATGACCAGCTACAGTCGCTTTGTCTTACAAAGAAGCTTGTCTGACTAGCACAGCAAATAGAGCCTTCCAAATTTCAAATTGAAGGGGAGACTCCTGTTCCCCTCTGCATCAATTATTTTTCTCGCCGAGTCTGACTATTTGAGCTGCCTCCTCAGCTAACCCTCACTGGGCACAGGAACCCAAGAACTGAAAGGGACTTGGGGCATCGTGCAGACTGAACCCCACACCACCCACAACGTCCTGTTAGCAGCAAGATCTTGAACATTGTTCTAAGAGTTCTAAGGCCCCAATTATAAAATAAACATTCATAAATGTACAAGGCAAACGCACACAAGTATATAAACCATGTGTCTGAAATAGTACAGGAGAGCAGTATTTTGACTCTCCCAAATTGACCTCAATATATTTCTCTGCAAGAAAATGGGGAAAGCCTTCCATTTGTCTTTTTCCTTACAAATCCTGTCTTAAGGGCGTATTTGTATATGAATAGGGTGAGCCTGTGACCTGGATTCAGGAACTATAAGTATTTATTATCTCAAAAGGAAGGGCCCTGCTGCCAGAGAATGCCAGGGAGGAGCAGGAACAGTCAGAGGGAGAGAGGAAGTGGCGGATGGGGAAGGGACGGAGAGCCAAGAGGCGGAAAAGCTCTCCGATGCTGAAGCAGAGCCCCAGCACCGCACAGGAAGTTCAGGCACCGAGGGTGAGGCAGTGCCTGTGCCTTCCACGCCTTTTCTGCTGGAGGAGAAGCCAGAGAAGGCCACTCCCCGAATCTGAACCGGAGGATTCGGACGCATGATTGTAATGTGCTGCTTGTACATATGTAAAATAAAGAACTGTAAATATCTCTGAGTGAGCAGAGGTACTTATGGCAAAGAGCATACACAAGCCATCACACCAGGTAATGCAATCAGTGACCATCAACAGATACCCTGGCAAACAGGATTTCTGCTGTAGACCGCCTCCTGTGATGTATTTCTGCTGTAGACCCGCCTCCTTCTGTGATGTATGTATGATGTTTTTGGGGGTGGTCTTGGACTCCAGGGTGGGCAATTTCAAAAGTCTATATAAGGGCTTGCACACCATTGTTCTGGGTTCCTCCTCCCTCCTGCGTGTGGTGAGTGAGGACCCTGTTGCAACAGATCAATGAAGATCAGGCTTGCTAGCTTCTTTGCTTCTCAACATTGTCTGGTTGGCCTGTTATTTTCTCCTACTGATAGAGAACCCACTTAAGGACTCTATGCGGGCTCTTGGGTACCCCATAAGGGGAAAAGGAGCAGTTTTTTCTTATCACAACATGGTGTGGTAGCATGTTCTTTGGTTCCACCCTCATTCCTTGCACAATTCACCTGCAAACAGCACTGTCTAACTTGGGCCTTTCCCATTGAAAAGGATCTTTCCCCTCTCCTTCTTGCTGCTACAGCACCGAGTGCTTGAACAGCATTCCCTCTCCCCATGCGACATGCTCCCACCTGTTTCCATGCTTGCACCTTGCGCCAGCCGTGCCGTTTCCATAATTCATGACATGCTCCTTGCATAATTTAGCATGTTTGGAGGGCACGACCAACTAAATGCAAAACTCCCAGGAACCCGGCAGATGCAAACACAGAAAAACAGAGACCTACGGAGAGGCGAGCCTGCTTCAATAATTCAAGCGCTTTGACATGTTTCATTTAACAGGTCTAGGACTGTATATAAATTCACCGGCAAATCCACTCTCCCTCTATGTCTCCACAACACCTTCGCTCCTGGATTACATAGGTGCTGAAGTAGCTATAGAAGGCAAATGCACGCACGCACACACCCCAAAGCTGTCAATTTCAGTTCCTCCAGGTTTTCCCTTTTCCCAATAAGCAGTGTGAGTGTCTGGAGGCGGTTGGAGGATGGATGGAGGCTAACAGATTGAGGCTGAATCCTGACAAGACCGAAGTACTGTTTTGGGGGGAGAGGGGGCGGGTGGGTGTGGAGGACTCCCTGGTCCTGAATGGGGTAACTGTGCCCCTTAAGGACCAGGTGCACAGCCTGGGAGTCATTCTGGACTCACAGCTGTCCATGGAGGGGCAGGTCAATTCTGTGTCCAGGGCAGCTGTCTACCAGCTCCATCTGGTATGCAGAATGAGACTCTCCTTGCCCGCAGACTGTCTTGCCAGAGTGGTGCATGCTCTGGTTATCTCTCGCTTGGACTACTGCAATGCGCTCTACGTGGGGCTACCTTTGAAGGTGACCCGGAAACTACAACTAACCCAGAATGGGGCAGCCACAATGGTGACTGGGAGCGGCCACTGAGTCCACATGACACCGGTCTTGAAAGACCTACACTGGCTCCCAGTATGTTTCCGAGCACAATTCAAAGTGTTGGTGCTGACCTTGAAAGCCCTAAACGGCCTCGGTCCTGTATACCTGAAGGAGCGTCTCCACCCCTGTCGTTCTGCACGGACACTGAGGTCCAGCTCCGAGGGCCTTCTGGTGGTTCCCTCACTGCGAGAAGCCAAGTTACAGGGAACCAGGCAGAGGGCCTCCTTGGTGGTGGCACCTGCTCTGTAGAACGCCCTCCATTCAGATGTCAAAGAGAACAACTACCAGACTTTTAGAAGACATCTGAAGGCAGCCCTGTTTTGGGAAGCTTTTAATGTTAGATGCATTGCTGTATTTTAATATTTTGCTGGAAGACGCCCAGAGTGGCTTGGGAAGCCTAGCCAGATGGGCGGGGCATAAATAACAAAGTATTATCATTATTATAGTTGAGTTCTTTGCATCGTTTGCATTTCTTTAAAAAGACCTAAGAAAATTCATTAATGCCTCCTGTTTTGTCCCCTTGCAATATGTACATTTTTGCCAGCAATTTCACAAATATATGTATTTTATACACATTCCCCCCTAATATAATGATTTTGATTAATTGGATGTATATCCCTCCTTTTTATCCAAGGAGCTCAAGGTGGCCTACATGGTCCACCCCCCCATTTTAATCCCCACAAGAAACCTTTGAGGTACGGTATTTTTTGCTCTATAAGACGCACCAGACCACAAGACGCACCTAGTTTTTGGAGGAGGAAAACAAGAAAAAAAATATTCTGAATCTCAGAAGCCAGAACAGCAAGAGGGATCGCTGCGCAGTGAAAGCAGCAATCCCTCTTGCTGTTCTGGCTTCTGGGATAGCTGCGCAGCCTGCATTCGCTCCATAAGACGCACACACACATTACCCCTTACTTTTTAGGAGGGAAAAAGTGAGTCTTATAGAGTGAAAAATACGGTAGGTTAGGCTGAGAGAGGCAGCCCAGAGGCCACACCCCGTGAGCTTCATTGGCTGAGTTGGGGGATTTGAACCCAGGTCTTCCAGGACCAAGTTCAACAGTCTTAGCACTGCACCACGTTAGCTGAAGAGCGGAGTGCAAGTACTTTAAAAATGCAAGCACACAG